CCCCCTCCAGGGCGGTGTGGTTCCTGGAGAAGCCACAGGCCTCCCGGACCCACCCCCGCTGTCCAACGCCGCGAGGAGGCTCAGGACTGGGCCTTCACCTCGGGTTGCCTCTTGGCCCTCATCTGTACCTCTGGAAGCCTCCTGAGGCCCTGTCCCTAAGGCGGGGGAAGCAGTGGGTTTGTAAGGGGTGGCAGTCAGGGTATAAGCACTTTGAGCCAGGGGGAGCATGAGCACTGTTTCTCAAAACCCCCTTAATTTTAAAGATGAGGACATGAGGGAAGGCAGTGGCCCAGCCGTAGCGGGTCTGGGCCTCCTGGCTGCAGCTGCAGCAGGACCCTGGACCCTGGTGCTGAAGTGGGCCCGGGACTGTTTATTTCCTCCCGGCTCTGAATTGCCCCCTCGAGTTCTCAGGGGTCTCCCACACCCCAGGTCTCCCCGTCGGTCGGGCACCACCTCCTGTGCAGGTGGAGAGGGCGGGTGAGCAGCAGTGAGCGTCAGAGGGCCCAGCCCCCGGGGGCAGCCCGCACCTGCCTTCCTACCCAGAGCCTTTCTCAGGGCCCTGGCCCCTTTGCCCAGTCACGCTGGGTTCCCCTCACGAAGGCTCAGAGTTGAGCGTGGGGAGGAGGGGACCCGGAGGATTGTAAGTGGATTTTCTTAGGGGAGATGGATGGGAGGCGTGGGGACATGCCTGGTGCTCTGGCCAGGTGCTGCGGTACTGCACGGGGGAGGATCCCAGCCCGCCAAGCGGGCAGGCCTACCTGAACAGATGGCCACCCGCTGGCTGGCTCCAAACACAAACGCCAATGCTCTCCATTCTGGAGGCCAGAGTCCAGGTGCCTCCTGCACCTCTTCTGGTTCCTGGTGGTTGCTGGGTCTTGACTTACAGAGGGCTCCGTCACTCAGCCTTTGCTGGTCCTTGCCTGTGTTCCTGATAGGGACGTGTGTCACTGACAATTCAGGATGACCCCTCATCTCAAAACCTTTACATCTCAAAGACCTTCCAGACACGGAGGGGTGGGCTCTGGGGTGATGGGGAGCATTTCCATGAGGGACGGGTCACTTCCAGTGTCTTTCCCGAGAGAGCTGTGGTGCCGCAGGGTGGGGACCTGCTCCAGATCACGTGCGGTCCCCACCTCCATAAAGGACCAGGCCTGGCACGATGCTACGTGATCTCCTTCGACATTTTGCTCTCCCATACCCAATGCCTTCACTGATGAACTTTCATCCCCTTATTAAAGCTGTGTGCTGAGAAATTAGCAATGAGAATGATTAAGTCACAGTGTTTACCCAGAAGACTCCAGAGGCAGAATGAGGAACAGAGGCAAAAGAAATGGTCACAAAAGAGAGGACTGTAAAGAGCTCCGCCGCCTGAGTGTAGAGAGGCCCCAGTTGCCCTGCCACACAGTGCCACAATTTAGTGGCTTCTCACGCGTGCTGTGCGTCTGTCGGGGTGGCTGGGGGCTCTCTCCAGGTCAGTGTTTGTCCTCCTGTGGGACCGAGCTGATGAAGCAGCTACCACCCAGAACATGGCTGGGGATCGGGGCAGAGGGGAGGAAAGTTCTGCAGGACGTGCAGTAGCCATCAGGTGCTTTCTCCTGGAAGGGTCAGCTCAGCCGCAGGGGCCTGGCAGATCTGCAGGCCTCACAGAGCAGCCGCAGCCGTCTCTGAGCTGGTCTGAAGTGAGTCTGCCTCCCGCTGACCTGGCGGGAGGCTGAGGAGGAGCCCTCCCGCCTCCTGACCTGGGCTTCGCGCTGTCCTGGGAGCAGGCGCTCTTCTTGGTTGACCTGAGGGCTCCACCCAGGCACAGGGGGCTTCAGTGACGCCCGCTGCACTTCAGGCGCTGAGGAGATCTAGAGAGGCAGGCGGCGTGACTGGGAACCCAGGGGTGCGTGTGTGTCCCATTTCTACAGAGAATGACAGCCATTAGGAGAGCCCTTTAGGCTGCTTCTTGACATCCTGGGACAGTCCAAGAGCCACACCATCCGGAGGAGCCGTTGCCCCCCTGGTGGTGCCTGGGACTGTGCTCCTTCTGCTTCTGGTGCTGATGGTAGAGGTGCCCATGGCGGGGACTGGGCGCCTCTTCCTGTGGAGTTGTGCGGCTCCTCGTCACAAGTCCTGCCTCTCGTGCCCATGGGAGGGTTCGTGGAGGTCACTCTGCTGGTCACGTGGGAATCAGGTGGTAGTCTGAAGGACCGGGCGGCCACAGGCTGTGAGAGGCCCAGGGATGGATGGGGTACAGAAGGCAGACGGCGAAACCGGGGTCCACAGTGGCCGTCAGGTCCTCGTCTGTGACACCTGCTTTATTTCTTTTTTTAAAAAATATTTATTTTTTAGTTGGACACAAGACCTTTATTTTGTTTATTTATTCTTATGGTGCTGAGGATCGAACCGAGGGCCTTGCACGTGCTGGGTGAGCGCTCTGCCACCGCGCCTCCAGCCCTGACACGTGCTTTTCTGACGGACAGGCTGTGTTGAGGAGGCAGCGGGATCATGCATGCGATAAGTTAGGTGACTGATGAATCCACCTGAAAGACTTGAGCTGTCCCAGAAAACCAAGGTGCTGGTGTTAAATCTAACTGAACCAATACCGCCAACCATCATCACAGCCCGAGGGTGTCTTCTAGTGGGAGGTGGCAGGAGAGGGCGACGCTGAAGAGTGTGAGCTGAGCGATGCGCAGAGTCTTCCTGAGCAGGACAGGGAGGTTTTCTACAGCAGAAAAGAAGCTGGGCCTATGCAGTGGCCACAAAGGAAGCGCTCTTTCTTTCAAAGCCCTTTCCCATATCTCCTCTGGACTCTAAGCTCTGAGACCCCGCCCGCTGTCGGCCTGGTGTCCCACGGTGAGCATAATGTGTGCTCTGCATACCTCAAGAACGAGGGTGGGATGTGGCTGCACACAGTGGAGAGGCAGCCACGTGGGAAGAGCGCAGACGCCGAGCCAGGAGGCTGGGTTTGCATCCCGACTTTCCCATTTAGTAGCTGCAGACCTGCCTGCAGCTTGGCTTGCACGTCTGTCCGTCCGTCCGTCCAATGGAAACGCTGATGGCACCTGCCTGGGAGAGTCCTTAGGAGGGCCGACTGAGTCAGTGCTTGTCCAAAGTAGGTGGTTAGAATGGTGCCTGGCACACAGTAGGCCAGCAGTTCTCGTCATGGGAGGGAACAGCCCACCCTACCCTCCACCGTTAGTGCAGCTCTGTCTGGGACATGGGATGGACGAGACCATCTGGGGTCCTCTCCAGCCCAGGAGTCTGGTGGGGTGGTCAGGGCTGCTGGCTAACTCTCTGTACTTCCATGGGACACTGGGCCTTCTTAGGGCAGTGCTGGGCCAGAGCTTGTGTCTCCTGCATCTGTCCAGACTGCACCCTGGGGAGTCTTGGCATGCCAGTCAGAGCTCAGCTCACAGGGCCTGGACTTTCACGTAAAGGAAGCCCTTCACCTTTGCTTTGGCAGACCTGAATCACCAGCGTCGCTCCTCATGCACTTTGGGCCTTTCTTAAGTAGAATGAGGGTTATTTGAACACAGGCTCTGGATCTGAACCAAGACAGCTGCCAAGTAACCAGCAGGCAGGTAGCACATACCGTGGGGAAACACTGGACGGAGAATGTGATTCACATGCTGGGCAGGCAGGAACATGGCAGCATGAGATTCCATTGTGGTATTCAGAAGGGAGTGCAACTTCAAACTGATAAACTGTTTATTTCTGGCATTTTTCATTTAATATCATCAGACTGCAGCTGACCACAGGTAACTGAAACTGCAGAAAGTGAAACCCTGGCTGAGAGGTGACCAGTGTGTAGCTTTCCTGGCTTCCCCCTGCCTCACCTGGTTCTGTGTCCTGACTGGTCTTTTGCCCCACGGGGAGGGTAGAGTCTGAGTCCACAAGATAGCTGTGGGGAGTGGAGGGTGAGGCCAGCCGTTCACAGCAGAGCCATGCCCCTGCCTCAGTGGGCAGCAGTCTGGAGCTTCCAGTGGGTTTAGGGAGTTGAGTGCCTTCTGGTTTCCCGAACAATCACATTGCTTTTACAACAACGGGTATTTTTGCTAATTGGATTCAGAGTAGTTGGAGCTACCTTGCTGGAAGCATCCTCATCCAGGACCCCTGGCCTTTCCTGAGCATAGGAGTCTCAGTGGCAGGACACAGGGCTCTATTCTTGGTCCTGGCTTATTAAACATTTTTGTTAATGACTTGAATGAAAGGTAGAAAGAATCCAGATGACCCACAGCTGGAATCATTAATGGGACACACGACACACTCAAGTCGAAAATGATTAATGCAGGATGAGACACGGGCCAGAACCAACAGTATGAAGCTAAACAGGGAGGGTGCTAAGCCCTCTGCTTAGCTGTAGGAAGGGGCCTGGTCTGGAAGCGCAGGACATTGTTCAACCATTCCACGAACGTCTAGGGCGACCCCAATGCTCGGTTCTGCCCGAGAGAGTGAGAGCCGAGAGGCCTTGTGGAGGCCGAGGGAAGGGGCTGGCCCTGGAGGCAGAGGCCGAGGGAAGTGACCTTCGGGTAGAAGGAGCTGCGGAGACGCCCAGGTGCTGCCACCCCCTTGGTTGAGGACGTCAGCCAAAAAGGACAGCCTCCATGTGCTGAGCCGCACCCGACAGGCGGCCACGGTGAAGAAGTCAGGCGGGGACAGCGGCTACCAGAACGCAGGGTCTCCCGAGTGTGGGCGCGGGCGCACGTGTGGCGCGGAGGGATGGGAGAGCAGGTGGTCACGGCCAGGGGGCTGACGAACAGGGCTGCGCAGGCCAGGAAGAGGGTGGACGGTGCGCTCTCTGCAGGCTGCAAAGGGGGGCCCTGGATGGCAGGGCTCAGGGCACCACGGGAGCACCAGGGTGGCCCTGCGTCTGGCCCCGCGTGCTGGAGCGCGTCCAGAGGGAGAGCCGGCGAGGCCGCGGGCCGCACCCCTGGGAGGGAGGGCTCAGAAGAGTGGAGGAAAGCCCGTGCTCAGGTTTACGTGAGAAGGCCTGAGCTTTAGCTGACCACCCACACTTTCATTGATGATTATTTATTCACTTATTAGGAGCCGGGGATCAGATTTAACCCCAGCCCAACAACTTTTTTTTGAGGAAAAAGATAACTCAATCTCAGACTTTATTTTCACACCCCAAATGCAGGATTTGAGTCTCTCCTCCTGCCCCGGCCTCCCGGACTCTCCTCAGGTCCTTTTCCCAGATTCTCTCTCTAGCTCCGGAAAGGAGGCCTCAGGGACACGGGAGCCTGTGGGCTCTGGGCTGTGACCTGAGGCTGGAGAGGATGGGAGTGGGGTAGCCAGGTGTCCTCTAAGCCTCCGTGGCACCCAGGCTGTGGTCCTGCAGCAGATGAATCATGAGGCTTCAGCCGTCCACTGACAAAGTCTGAAGGAAGAATGTTCTGGTTCTTGTTTCTCAACCGATGATCAAAGTGTGACCAAGAAAAAACCCTTGGTGCATGCCTGTGATCCCAGCCACCTGAAGGCCTGTCTGCGCAACTCAGTGAGATCCTTCTCAAAAATAAAAAGGGCTGGGAATGTGGCTCAGTGGTAGAGCACTAGTCTGGCATGCATGAGACCTTGGGTCCTCTACCCAGTACTATAAAAAAGTAAGATATTCATTTATTATTAAGCTAATCTTGAACATTTTCAGGTAAACCATAAACCTTCATCATCCTAACACAATGACTATTTCTCTCTCTCAATTAAAAGAAGGGAGAAATGGATAATTCCACTAGGTATAACTACTTTCAGCTTTGGGTCTTTATTATATTTGGCCACACAGGATTCTTACATAGCTGGAGTCAGCATAGACGCAAGTCTGCACTCTTCTTATTTACTGTTATTTCCAAGATGACGTCCTTGTTCTGCGTAGCCATATTGTCATTTCAAACGCCTTCTCGAAGGTCTATGATACTCTACACCATCCTTTATTTAGTCGCTTTTCTATCTTGGGCCATGGCGTTGGCTTCCACTTTCTCCTGTTATAAATAACCCAGCTATAAACAGTCCTGTGTCCTTTTCTTCTTCTGAATGATTTCTTTGGAAGCAATTCCCGGGAGTGGATTATTAGGTCGAGGACATGGATGTTTTTATGGCTTTCCATGCATGTTGCCACTTTGGCCCTGGCCTCCTTCCTTCCTTCCGCGGAGGCTCCCCGTACAGCTTGCCGGCTCAGCAGGATGCTCCAGGAAGGGAATGTGGGGTGAGAGGGCCCAGGAGCCGTGTCCAGCCAACGGCCCTTTCCTCCCAGGGTATTGCTGCCAGCCTGGGCAGCGGAGGAAGGGGGTGTGGACACCCTGGGAAATGAAGCAATCCTCTGGTACTTCCCCCTGGAGCGCAGGCCGCTGGGGGGAAGTTACATACCAGATAGGGGTGGGGCAGGCAGTGACAGTGACACTGGGGACACAGGAACCTCCTGTGGGGTCAGGAAAGGAGCAGAACCTGAGTGTTGAAGCTGGCTTCTAGGTGACGGCTTGCAGTCTGGGGAGCGTGTCTGCTCACTGGCTGGCTGAGATCTGCGACGAGCACCAACTGTGTCGGGTTCTCTGCTGGGACCATGGATACCTTGGGGAATGAAGCTTGGCTCCTGCCTACAGGGGCCTTGCAGCCTAGTCAGGGAGTCAGAAAGGCCAGGTGTGGTTGCAGCAGTTCGGTCAATACTGGGCAGACGCGGTTCTCTGTGGCGATCTGCACATCCTGCCTGGAGCAGGAGGAGTCCCGGGCGGGGAGGCCCCCAAGGAGGTGATCCTGAGCTCAGTCTGCAAGGACAGGGAGGAGAGGGAGCTGAAGGGTGAAGAGAAGGGTGCTGGAGGACCGAGAAAGTGTGTGTAAAATAGGACCCTGTTTAGTGGGGGGACCATGCCAGAGGGGACCGGACCTTCAGAGCCTCTCCAGGGCCTGATGGGGAAGGAGCCTGGACCTTCTCAGAGCAGTGTTCAGGGTCAAGTTGCCAGGGAGCCTGGAGGACCCACCCTGAAGCTGCGTCCATGCAGCCAGCACACTGTCCCACTGTGCTGGGTACCACTGATGAGAATGTGACACCGAGAGCCACCTCTTGGTGTCACACTCATTTTACTCCTGGAGCAGGGGTGCTGGGAGTTATATGACCAGACCTATCTTAGGAAGCTCACTCTGGCTGTGGCTCTGAGGATGGACTGGAGAGGGATGTCATGGAGGCCTCTGGAGGCCGGTCAGTCACCCACACTAAAGACCAGGAAGCTGGCTGCCCGGGACCAGGGAGGGAGGGGGGACAGGAATTTGAGAGGAGGACCCTTCTTCACGGGGGCAAGATGTAGCTGGAGATTAGGCACGGTTCCCAGGGGCCTGCTCGGACAGGGATGCCCAGTGCACCACGACATTTAAAAAGCAGACAGGCCAGGGACTGGGTTTCTCATGTCTCCCAGGCACCTGGGAAGGTGCATGGTGTGAGTGTGGGTGTGAGTGTGCTGGAGGAGAACCCAGGGAGCCACTCAGGGGGCCAGGCCAAATTCCACTGCTAAAGCATCTTGGATCAATGGTGCAAGATGCAGGGGCCTCACCAGCTTGATAACTCCACCCCATCTGGCTCACAGGGAGAGTTAAGTGAGATAACTTGGAAAATGTGTGTAGGATCCACATGAGCAGGGATTTTACCACCACATCTTGGAAAATGCTGGGGACAAACCTGGAGATAACTTGGCCCATTAGGAGAGGCGGTGCCCTGGAGCCTAGGCGCTGACGTAAGGTAACAGGGTAAGCTGCTGTTGTCCACCTGCACCTAGGCCTCTGCTTCTTCCTCCTCTGTGGCTCCTCTTTGAAGCTCTGGGAGGCCAGATGGGGTGGGGCACTCACCCTAGGCAGAGGCTGTGTGTGATGCCATCAGCTGCGGTGCATGGAACTTCCTGAGTCCCCGGTGTTGGGTTGGGCTCCAGCCTGGGGCAGGGAGAGACCTGCTGTCCACCCCAGAAGGACCACTGCCATCCCTGGCATGAGCTCTGGCCAGTGTCCAGGAGCTACAGGGACTCCGCTCGGTCTAGGGAAGGATTTTGCATTTTCCGTAGAGAAGCACCAGTTAGGACAGAGCCGGGCCAGGATCCCGGCCCTGCAGTGGCTGTGCTTGTGCAGGCCGGAGAGCTTGACCAGGTGGGAGAGGACCCGAGGCGCTCTCGCCTGACGCATGCTGTGAGCCAGGGAGTGTGCCCAGAGGCCCCTTCCACAAGGCCACCATGCCCCAGTCGTCTGCTCGGCTGTCACGACACAGAGAGGTCGGCTGGAGCAGCAAAGCTCTGCTTCCCCACAGCTCTGGAGGCTGGGAGGCCAAGGTCAAGGACTGCAGGTGGCTCCTTCCAAGGCCTTGCTTCTGGGCTTGGGGACAGCCACCTTCTCCTTCTGTTCTCACATGGTGTGTGTCTCCTCCTGAGGACGGCAGTCAAGTGGCATTAGGCCCACCGTGAAGAGCTCACTCCGACCTAACTACCTCTGTAAAGACCCTTTGTCCAAACACAGTCACATTCTCAGGGGCTGGTGACCAGGCTTCAGTGTGGGGATTGGGGGACACAATTCAGGCCTCACCTTCAGCTGTGGTGAGAACAGAAAGGACATGGCAGCTGTGGGGGCCGAGTGGCATGCCGAGGGCTCCTTGGAGCCAGGTGACCACTCCCACGGGGCCTGTCCAGCCGCAGCCTGGGGAGAGGGCCAGGCACAGTGCTGCTGAACAGCCTCCTGCGCCCGCCCAGGCGCAGTGCCCACCCCCTCCTCCAGGGTCCGTGAGCCAGCACAGGGTGTAGTGTGCTCCGCGGCCACCTGAGCGGCCCCCAGCCGTACTGCCTGGGACGCCCCCAGCCTCTGCCTGTGTCCTGCGGCTTTCTTCCTCTGGGGCCTGTGGTGAGTGGCTCTGCCCAGCCTAGTGGAGGAGACGGGTGGGCAGGCTTGGGGGAGAGCCTGGCTGGGAACGTGCACCAACCCTTATCAGCCCTCTGTCATCCCAGGCGACCAGGGACGGCTCCAACAGGCTGCGTTCCCCACCCCCCTCGTCTGGGGCTGGGCCCAGATGTTTCTCCTCAGCCGGGACAGGGGACAGGTCCGCTGCCTTTCTCACAGGAGGGCAGCCTGGCTACCAGCTGGGTGAGGAGGCCCTGGCTCTCGTCTCTCCTCACCCTCCATTCCTCGCAGAGGAGCTGCCTCCCTTATCATCAGGACCGGGAGGGGGTTGGGCTTAAAAGGAGCTGGGCCCCTTTAAAACTGAACTGCACGGTGCCCAGACGCTCCAGGGTATTTTCAGCCTGGGCCAGTGAAGAGACACGCAGCAGCCAGACTGGCACCAGGCGCTCCTTCCCAGGGCCAGGCTGGGTGGCAGCCCCGCAGGGACACAGATTGCCGGTGGTTACCGTCTAACTCCGGGAAGCGGAGCAACTTCAAGGCCAGCGCACCCAGTCTTGTCAGGGCGCACACGCGGGTGGGGACGGATCGTGTGGGTACCAATGGCTGGGCCCGAGCTCTGCAGGGTTTCCAGCCGATGTCGCAGTTCCATGTGGACCTCTGTGGACCTCGTAGCTTTAGAAAGTCGAGGTCTGTCACCTGTCACTTTAGCGGGCGCGTGCTGTTTTGTTACTCTTGTGCGTAGGTTCTCTGCAGCTCTTCTCTAAAACAGTATCCAGGTGGCCTCTGACTCCTCGAGGTCGTATAAACTGCATTCCCCACTTCCTGACTGTGTTTTCTAAGAAAGAACAAGGCATTTTCAAACTCTCGTGGCACGGCCCCAGGTTATTGTCTCAGAAGAGGCAGAACGGTCAGGGCGCTCGCTGCAGCTGTTTTGAAGGGGCCACTCTTCCCGTGGTGGGGGCACCTTGGTTTACCATCGACACACACCTTTGCCAGCGGCCGTGCAGTGGTGCCTTGCACTGCCCAGTGATGGTCAGGGTCACACCTTTCTTCCCAGATGGAGACTGAGAGGCTCTCCTCCTGGCCTTCTGGGGCTTTCTGGGGCTGACTGCGTAGGTTTCACACTCTGGATGGGGGTTTCTCTGCATCCCCCGGCAGCTTTCCCTCTGCCAACTTGTCTTCAGGCTCAGTTGGGTGGACGCTGGGGTCCATGGGGAGAGGTTCTACAGCAGCCGAGCTCGTGGCTGGTCCTGGGCTACTCACAGAGACGTGAGGCCCAGCAGCAGAGACAGTCTACCATGCAGACCTGCCTTCTCCAAAGGCTGGGGCTTGAGGTCAGCAGATAGTCATTGCACACCTGTCACGTGTGGGTGCTAAAAGTCCACAGTACCTCCTCCACCCATAGGTCAGGCTGGTGAGAGGGACCAATGGGTCAAGGTTAGCAAAGCAGGTGGTCGTGGCGACACTATCCAGGGGTAGGTCCCTGAAGGCTTCCCAGAGTGGGCAGGGAGCTGGGTCTTGGAGGAGGAAGATCCGAGTAGGTGGTGGCAATGAGGACCACAGCGTTGGAGGTGGGAAGTACATGGTGTTCAGAAAGGCACAAGAGGCTCAGGATGGGAAGAGCCGGGGCCTGCTGTCAGATTGCCAGGGCTGAACCCCAGCCCCTCTGCAGCTCAGAGGCCTTGGCCACTCATCAGCCTCCTGATCCCCACTCCCACTGTCCAAAGCCCGACGGCCAAAGCATCGGAAGAGCTGGTCTCCATCAGACGCCCGGTGTGGCCCGCAGTCTGCTCAGCAAGTGCTGCTGCCGTGAGGAGGTGTGACCTCGTAGGAAGGAGAGGGGACTGGGCTCATGGTCTAAAAGGGTGCCTTATTCCAAAGACTTGGGCCCAGGGTGTTTTTGATTTTTAATTTTTCCAGATTCTGGAATGTTTGCGTGTGCCTATCTTGAGAGATTTCAGGGATGAGACCCAAGTACAAACGTGAAATTCATTTGTTTCGCAAGCACCTTATTCATATGGGCCAAAGAGAATTCCATGTGATCATTGTTAGAGTTCCTTTGTTTCAGCCGTGCCCATCCCGTGAGGTCAGGCGTGGACTCTCCCCTCATGGTGTCAGGTCTGGTCGCTGTTGGGAAAGCTTTCAGTTTTGGAGCATGTCAGATTCCGGGTTTTCAGGAAGGTGACCGGGTGAAGACACGGCAGACTTACAGCTGAGAAAGACCAATGGACAGCAGAGGGGAGAATGGAAAAGCGGAAGAAGAGTGGAGACCAAGAAACCCCCCACAGGTGCAGGAGAGATAATGGCATCCTGAGGGTCAGTGGCCACAGTGAGGATGAGGAGACAGAGCAGAAATATAAATAAAGGACAGAAGGACAGGCTTGGTGACCGAGTAGGTGTGCGGAGCCAGGGAGACAGGATCTGATGTTTCCCAGTTGCTGTCCCCAAATCTGCTCGTGAGCTTGGCCACGTCCTGCAGACCCAGCACCCTCGACCTCTCCGGATGGGCCTGTCATCGCTGCTCCTCACGGCTCCCAGGGACAGACTTCCTGGGGTTGAGGAGAGTGTGGGGACAAACACAAGGCCCCTTGTTTCCAGAGCGGGATGGAGGACGCACCTCTCCCCAGGGAAATGAGCTCAGCTTTCCTCCTGCTCCCCGCCTAACGAAACCCGGAGCCTGAGACTTAGCCCCTGCTCCAGGACCCTCGCTGACCGCCACTCTCAGGCCCACGTCCGCCCGGGGAGGGGCGGCTCCAGGAGGGGCGTGTTTGGCAAAGAGGAAATGGCTCCAACCAGATATCGCTTTGTTTGTTTTCCCTGTGAAAAGAAAAGAGACCATTTTTCCTCTCTCATTTATTTTTTTTAGGGACCAGGCAGATATTTTTAATTCCTCTGGTTCCCTGCTGTCTACAGGTGCTTCCTATGTGCTGCTGTCGGGCAGGACAGAGCCCATGACATAACCGCTGTGCCCTGAGATTTCCAAAACCCCAGCTGTGCCTGTGGGTGCCGTCTCAGATCCCCTGGCTGGGCAGGAATGTGCTGCTCCTCCACAGCCTGTCCCCCGTGGAGGAGACAGGGCTGGTTCCCCTAACAGAGTGACAGGAGGCCCCGGGGGCGATTTGGAAGGAGGAGCTCTCCTGCAGCAGTGCCCTGTGGTTGCTGACTCCCCAGGGATTGTGGCCTCATGGCTCATCAGAAGCATCATCTTTGCTTCTGATCCAGCGGACAGCAATCCCTTCTCCACCCAGTGGGGGCAGCCCTGCAGGACAGGCTGGGAGACGGGCATTGAGAAGATGGAATGCTTGTTCATTTAAAAAAAAAAAAAAAAAAGTTTTACGTAAGCAAAAACTAGGGAGAACAGTGTGTTCTCCATGCACCCAGAGAAGCCCATTATGGGAAATCCTTTCGTAAAGTGAAGAGACTATTAGTAAAACAGCAGTAATCCCTCCCAATTTATTTGTTTACAGTCTGTGTGGATTTATGGAGCCTCGTGTCTGTCTTCTAGAAGGAGTGGAGCAAATATTTATGGAGCACTCTTATTGCACAGCTTGTCTTGAAAGCCTCGTGGGCATTCCGTGAGCTGGTCATTCTGACTCATTCTGCTGATTCGGGAACTACCATTCAGGGGTCTCGAGGCTGGCCAAGGGTAGAGGACGCTCACCCAGGTCTTCTCACCCCGCCTGAGTCCTGTGTTAAGATCTGATACTCCTTAGACTTCAGTGAGATGTGGTAGTACCTTTGCTGTTATTTGATACTGAGAACAATGATATAATGATGTGCATAAAATAATTAGAAATAAATTCATATAGTGAACCAGAATTGTCCACCTGGAGTTGTCCAGAGAATGGTAGGGTAGGATCAAAGCATTCTTCCCGGAAACCAGGAGCAGCAGACAGGGGCCCTGGGGATGGAACACGGCAGGCAACACCACCCATCCCACTCAGATTCTCTTGTTTTTAAAACATGGAGCTGATTTTTAAAAAACAAACAGATCAAACTTAAAATCTTCTGTGGAAACATCAGAGCATCTGATGATGCTGGACCTTGAACCATCTTTGGAAAAATGACCCACTGTGCACATGCAGGCGGTGGGCTGGGGCTGGGGGGCAGCAGCACCCTCCTCCCGTAGGTGGACTCAGGTCAGCACCCACCCACTCTCACCTCGCCCGCTTGGCCTCTGAGGACTGGAGTTGGCAATGCATCCCCCATGATGGCCAAGAGGGGGAGAAGACAGCTGCACAGGCACCCCACCTGAGCCGACCCTGCCCCATCCACTTGGAGGGCTCGCGGCTCCCAGGAGTCGAGCTGCGTTCCCAGAATGGCAGCTTCTGTTCAGAACTGACACCACTGACACGTGGAGTGGAACCGTGACTCCTGGGACACAGGCTGGGAACTGTCCAGTTATGAGTCCATGCAGACCTGTCCAAGAAAACCAGGGGCACGGGGCCCGGTGGAAACGCCTGTGTGCCGGCTCCTCAGTCTATGGTGAGGTGCACGAGACTCTTTGGGCTTCGGGTTGGTCATTTTCTGGAGCAGAGAGCAGTGGGGCTTGGAGAAGGGACTGTGATTTGGAATTTGCCACTGCAAGTGGGGCCAGCTGCCCTGGACTTTCATGAGGCCTCAAACTTCCTCACAGAGCTTCAGGCTGCGTAGATTTAAATTTAGCTTTTGTAGGGCCCGGGCTGTGGCTCAGAGGTAGAGCATGCGTGAGGTAATGGGTTCGATCCTCGGCACCACATCAAAAAATAAATAAATAAAATAAAGTTACTGTGTCCAAGTACAACTAAAAAATATTTTTAAAAATCTTTGTAGAATTATTAGTGACTCTCCACCTCCCTTATGGGCATGCCTGCCTTCTCCCCAGGCCCCGGGGACTTGGTCTTGAGGTCTTGACATTTTGAGAAGGTTGACAACTCACTGCTGGGGTTTTCCAAGTGTTTGCCCCGGCTCCAGCCAGGCTTTCCCAAAGCAGTTGGAGAGCAGAGCTTGAAATCTCATTTCAGCTTTTCTTTACTTGATATTTTTCATATTGTCAGATATCTTAGCAACTTGCCTTATAAATCAGCTCTATCTCGTAGAGCAGAGGAAGGAGACAGAGGAGAGAGGAGGGAGGGAAAGGGAGGTCCTGGAGTGTGAGAGTGACCGAATCACGTTCTGTGCCTGTGTGAGTACGTGAAGGTACCCCCTTATTCTATGTGATTAATGCACCCGCAAAAAATAAAATCACACCACAACTGAGAACCCAGGAGAAGATATTGATAAAGAGCCAAGGTCTCTATATAGAACATATAACAAACTCTTAAAATTGGAAAGAGTAAAAAGCCCATAAACCTGAGAGAGAAAAGAGAGCAAAAGATAAGTAGCTGACTCACAAAAAGATATAAAATCATCTCCAATCATTTGAAAAGGTTTCACTTACAACAAGACAAAACCAGACCCACCCTGAGGTGCCGTTTCTTCAGACCTTCCCGACTGGAAAGAAGTTAGATACCGTTCAGCACACTCTCCGCCAGGCTGTGGGGCCACCGGCTGGCTCACACGTGGCTGGGGACGTGCAGAATGGCACCACCTCCATGGCAGGGCATCAGTCACACCCACCAAGTGGGCACACACCTTTGCTGGTGGACTTCACAAGCCCGCCTGAGAGAACTTGCCCGAGAGCTGCACTTCTGTCAGTCTGAACATACAGGTGCATGTCCGTCAGTCTGGACATATCGGTGCACATGATTAGTCATGGCAGTGCATGTGTAACTGTGACGTACTGCAAAATGGGCTCAGTGTCCGCATGTCAGAGAGGAGAGGTGTGCACTGTGGTCCACCCCCACAGCAGGTCACCATGTGGTGGTGGGAGGAATCCCTCTGGACTGGTGTGGATTGATTTCTGATGTAAATGGAGCAAAATCTTAAAGGCTTTCTGTAGTGTGTTTCATGAACGTGTGCATAGGGTAGATCCAAGAACTCAGAAACTGGTCAAAAATGAAACAAAAATAGGCCGCTCAGCTCCAGCTTACTCACACACACACACA